TGTGTGCGCATACATATTACATACACACAATACAAATATGTCTACACACACATACACATGTATACATGTCACATATTTGTATTTATAAATGTACATACTGTCCGTGGGTATCAATGTGTGTGTATATGGGTAGATTATGCTTATACACATGCACCCCCAAATATGCATGCACCTGTCAGCCTCTGATCTTGACATTCGCCCCTTGGACCACCCAACCTCACAGCGCCCCAGCACGGCCCCAGCTCCTCCATGAGGACTAGCGCCTTGGTGTAAGGGAACCCCTCCCAATTCTCTCTTACGTATCCCCGCGGGCCATGAGGACGAAGAGCCCGGCTAAAGGGTAGCCAGGCCCTCGTTCGCGGAGGGCGCCGAGGGGCAGAGCCTGCACGGCCGCCCGCAGGGTCCGCAGCTCCTCCAGCGGCTTTTCCAGCGCAGCGACCCGCCTCAGCAGCTCCAGCGCAGCGTCCACCTCCCCCGCCGCCATCTTGGACAGAGAGGAGGGGGGACGTCTCGCGAGAATTCGGCGAGGAAAGGAGGGCCCCTTTCGGGTCCGCAACCTGCGCAGGCGCGGTGACGCCCTTTGTGGCGGCGTCGGTCACGCAGACGCTCCGGTTGCTGATTGGATGGACAAGTCGGGCAGGCGGGACACTTGATCCAGTATCAGCCCCCTTGGTCTCTGTTTAGGCAATTGAAGTGCAAGCAAAGGGGTATATAAAATGCAGTAAGAAGAGTGCCTCTGAGCATGCCTAAAGTGTTGTTTCCTCCCCTCCCGCCACCACTCCTGCTAACGAGTAACGAGCCAGAAGCATTTGAATCTCAAGAGTCTTTTTTTTCCTTAACATTCTATGCAGACTCTTGTAATTCTTGCAGCAAAATGCACTTCCCTTAACAGGCTCTCGTGTTTCAAAGAACAGAACTTTTATGGAACTTTCTCTTAGATAATTGAGCCCGATGAGAACTTGGGTGGGAAACCACAAGGAAATCCATCTCACCCTATTGATGGATGCGTATCGTTTTGGACAGATGGGTGGATGGGTTTGGATAGATGATATAGATGATAGATAAATGGGTGGCAAAGTAGGTAGATGAGAGAGAGAGAGATTACATGATATAAGGATATTAGATAATTAGATGAGAGAAAAAGATTAGATATAGATAAGATACTGGATATATAGATAAATAGATAATTAGAAGAGAGAGAGAACAATAGCAAACCACTTCTGTAGCTTCTATACTATTGCCCTCAAACCCAGCGTGGATGGATATCTATGAAGTCACCATATATTCAGATATAGATATATAGATATGAATTTAGATAGGCTAAAATGTTTGGTTTTGCACATCTGTTTTCATTTTCTCCCGTTCTGTGCAACTTCGTTTTCTTCCTTTCTCCAAGTGTTGCGATTGTGGGATCCACCTCTCCTTAAGGTTATTTCTTCAGCTCCAGATCCTTTTAAAACCTCAGAATTTATCAGCCTGCTCATTCCCCCAACTCAGGTGCCCCCTTCCCTTCTTTTAGAGCTTCCCCACGTCCGCCAAGCATTCAACTTCCCAACAGCCGCTGTATACCCTCTCATGCAGTGCTAGCAAGACGAAGGTATGGCCAAGTTACCAATATTCTTTTTTTTTTTTAATAATAATTGTACCTCTGACACATTCATTTGAATAGAACACACAAAAGGCCACTCATTAAAAAAAGCAGCAGCCCTGACTCGGTGAAGGTGCATAGAAGCGTTTACAAGATCAGTCCAAACCAATGCAAAAATAATTATTATAATATTTTAAAATACAAACAAATCCTTCTGGGGGTGCGGGGGGAAGAATATATATTTTGAGAGGCCCTCTCTTGTCTGCTGGGGCCTCAAGTTAATCTGTGCAAACAGGAGCAGGCAAACACAATTAGATTCAGAATTGCTTTACAAATCTTTTCCTTGGGGGATAACAGCAGAGAAGCACTCGTAAAAGAGGAAAAAGGGAATCTTGGCAAGGTAAAATGCCACGGCCAGTTTTGTGCTTTTTCTAGGCTGGGAACTGCCTCCTTTTGAGACATTCGTCATAAATGGACCATCCTGGCTGAAGTTATGACTGAATTTTCAGCTTTCATCCACGCCAGTCAAAAAAATTGCAAACCATTGAGCCAAAGGGGACACCCACCAACCATTAACTTCTAATTAACTTGAAGAGAATCCAGATGTGTGCGTCTTTAGTGCATTTGCTAATCTCCCCCCTTCTGGCACATTAAATCTGCAACTCAGGGATTGTGGGGGTGCACCCAGGAGCTTGGAGGGGTCCCTAAATCCCGCCCTTTGGGTTTATCCTTACAGGCATTCCACCACCAGCCATCCTATCAGCCTGCTATACAACTCTCTGTTCATCCCACCTGCTAAGCAGGGTTATCCATTTAACCCCCTCCTGGATCCTAGCAGTGTCTGATCTCTCGCTATCCTTTATCCTTTGGGGGGGACAAAATAAGTGCCACGTTAGATGGAGCCAATCTTGTCCAAGTGATGTAATTTCTATGGGGCTGTCCTGGGAATTCATTCCCCTTTTTGTCCCGAATGGCCACATGGAGCTACGGCTGAGCCATCACGGATCCCTAAGCCACCCCTTCCATCTTTCCTAGCCCAACCCAAAGGGTCTACAACAGGAACCGTTGGAAATTTGGTCTTCAATCCCCAAGGAAGTTCAGGGCAACCTGTTCTTCCCTGGCTGCATTCCCACCCTGTTCCTCTCTTCACATGGCTTCACATGCTGGACCCTGACACGCATCAGTAGGGCGTGCTGCCCTCCCACTCCAAGAGATACTCCACTTTTCCTTCTGGGCTGATCCTCCGAGCCAACACTTGGTATTTCTCTCTACAAATTAAGCGGCCGGTGGCTCCGAAATAGCTGCTGATGGATGACTGGAGGTGAGAGAGGGATAAATCGTCCTCGCTCAAGCTCTCCAAGGTCTGGCAGTCGATGGCGTTCTCCGGGCGATCTGGACTGCTGGCACGGTCACTGCCATCCAAGGAGCAGCCAGGGACAAGCCTGCGGAGGCGCTCGGAGCATTTCTGTTTGGCATCGAATGGGGCATAGGTTTTAGCCGACAGTTTGCGCTTCCGGCTCCCGACATTTGTCCTGCTGAAAGATAGTAAGAAAACAGGGGGTTCTTAGGGCTCTGGCGTAAGGCAAGGATCCCCCAACGCCCGGTCCACAGCATGCCACTGTTGTGGCTTGTCGGCCACCAGCCTCTCCAGCAGCTGAATCAGAGAAGGAGGAGGTGTGGGAGTCAGGATCAACATTGGCAGCCTGAGAACTCGGAAGGGGAAGAAGGAATGGAACTGGGAGGGGGGAGGGAGGGAGGGAGGGAGAGGGGGATGGAGCCTGGGCCGTCAGCCCTCAGATAGAGTCAACAACCCCCAGGTCTGGAGGTGGCTGATGAGGAAGAGGAGGCCAGCTGGGTCCAGTGCCTGATGTGCAGATGCGCAAAAGGCAGAGGAGAGGAGAGCAGTGGAAATCTATGGGCCAGTCCTTGGGATGGAAGAGCCACCACTGCTAGCGAAGCCGCATGCTAGCTGTGGGGATAAAAGGCAGGGGGCAGAGATGAATAGATGTGGCAAACAATTATTCATCTCCCTGCCAGACGGACTGGTTAGCCTGCGGTGAGAGACTTTTTGCTGGGGCTGCCGGGGCTCCTAATAAAGGAATCGGTGATCGAGTGCAGAGGGTTGGTCATGTTTGGGAAGCTGGGTCAGACTAGTCAGCAACCAGACTGCGCAAACAAGTGAACTCCATCTGCGGGATGAAGGCCGCAGGCAAAACCTCGCCCCCTTCGGTCCGCGGAAAAACCTTTCTCCACAGAACCGCTCCCTGGTATGCCCAACACATTGTTTGGCAATCAGAACTATCGTTCCTAATGTGGCAAAATTGCAGGGTGTTTTTCGTGACTCAGATGCAACCTTTGACAATGTTGGCAAAAGGGTCGTGATATTGGGCGCGTCTCGATTGGAACGGCGAGGTGAGGACTAACTTTCAGGGGCCGAAGCACCATTTAAAAAGAGAAGCCCTTTCAATTGACAAAGGACCAGGGTCACCTCGATTCAAAGGAAAAACTCGTCGAGGCTGAGCCTGAGGTGCTGGCGGCGTCGGTGGAGTCTACATCGGAGAGGAACCCGTGGCCCGAACTTGCGCTGGAAAAGAGGGAGAAAGAACAGTAATTAAATGTCTGCAAGAAAACAACCAAGCTCAGAGAATCAAGGACCCCACAATCCAAACAGGAAAATCATTGTCCTCCCCCCCCCAAACCCCACCCCTTTCTAGCACTGATAATGTTACCTAGTTGGGTAATGAAACACCTGCAAGAAAACAAGCCAACTCAGAGAGCACCTCACAAAGGAGACTTTCTATCTACAGGGCCAGAAATCCTCCCTTAGCACTAAGGCAACGTTCGGCTTGCAAGGTGTTACCTTTTTAGACTCTGGATTTCATCCAGCGAGAAATCGAAGATGCAGGCCAGGTGATGGTTGGTGCTCCAAGCCGAGGCAAAATCGCTCTGTGGCAGGAAGGAAAAAGGAGAGAGAGAGAGAGAGAGAACAGCCGTTATCCAGCATCCTCAAGCAGGGAAAATAATTTGCAAGAAAACCCACCAATCCTCTCCCAGCCCCCCAAAGAATGTGGAGGCCGTTCCCCACAGCAGAGCCCATCATTTTAGCAAACTGACACTGGGAATGGCATCCTCCAAGAGGAATTTGGGCCTTTTCCTTCTCCGTTCGTGCTGGGATTGCTGCGGCAGCAAACTGGAGAGGAGGGAAGGAAAGAAAAAAGGGAGGGTGGGGGGAGATAAGGAATCAGACAGGTGGCACAAAGACCAAAGGGAGAACTCAGAAGCTCAAGCGAAGAGCCTCTGCTGACTTCTACAGACCTGTTTTTGTGGGAGCATTTGACTTTCCCCCTTTTCTTTGTCTTGTTCAGTCCTGCAAACTTATCCGGGAGAATTTTGCTGGGAGGATTCGGGGGGACTCGAACCCGAAGGCGAAACATGCGTTTCTTTTTCTTGATTTCCTTCCCGCACAAGAACCTGAAAAGTCACCAAGACAATCCTGCATCTTGGTTCAATGAGAAAAGAAATGTCTGCAAGAAAACCGCCGAGCTCAGGGAGCACCAAGCACCCTACATTCCTCCTCTCACACACCACTCTCTTCTAGCACTGATGATGTCACCTAGAAAGGTAATGAAACGTCTGCAAAAAAAACACCGAGCTCAGAGAGCACCAAGGAGCCCACAACTCAACCCTGAGCTACCAATATCCTCTTCTATCGAGTCCGTTGGATCTTCACACCTCTTGGGAGAATTGATTCTTTCAAGCTCACCTGCTTTTGTAACTGTTTAGTGCACCTAGAAGGAGGGGTCCTCGTTCTGCCACAGGGGTTGTAGTCAACTGGGGAAGAGATATTAAGGCAAAATGAGCCCCAAATTCACTTTTCGCACCAACCTAAGAACGCCTTTGAAAGACTAAGTGAAAGCTGTGTCTAATCCACCATCCATCACCCTTCTCTAATCTTCTGTGGAGTTTCGTGGATCCCTTCTCGCCTTGTGTCAGCTTTTTGCTGGGATCTTGCTTTGGGGTTTGGGGAATGTCAGAGGGCACACAGCTTTACTACATGAGACAACCCAGGAGCAATAACAGCAAACAGAGGTTTGTAAGAAATAGTGGTTTTTATCTACAAAAATATATATATACTACACATACACGTACTATAAGCAGAAATCAAACAATCAGTAAATTACAGCAGGGAAGAACACACAGCGATAGAGAGAGAGAAAGAGAGACATGCCCTAACAGGGCCTCTTTTTATTATACAGGCTCTTAAAGGGATAACAGCCAAAAACCTTGCTGGTTCATTCCTATCATTACATCAGAGCATCATTGCATCATCGTAGCAGCTGGGAGAATTTATCTTTTTACACCTCAATATCGCAGATTTGATACCAAGCGGAGACTGGAGAATCCACCCTTTGCCATATACCCCCATTCCTGCCCTACTTTCATGCCCAGGGCATCTACATATCTTTCAATTAGCCATGGCAGCTGATAGAACCCATTTTATAGAACCGCTGTAGAGGAAGTTAGCGTGTGTTCAGTGGGAAGCAAACTGTAAAGAGAAGGATTTGAGGCTTGCCCCACAAACCTTGCCAAGCTGAAAGTAGTCCCAGCGGTGATTGACGAAGGCCAAGATCTCCTCAAAGTCAAAATATTTCTTCTTACTTTGCGCACCCAGGTTGTAGATGGCCAGGTGCACGACGTCGACCCTGTGTGTGTGTTGTTCAAGAAACAAAAGAGACAATGACCTTCCCGTTGATGGAAATGATTGCAGGAAGGAGGTGGAATTTTTTAAGGTGAAGGAATGAGGATAGCATTTTCCTATTCTTTCTTTGAATTAGCTTTATATACCTCCATAAAAATCTCCTCCTCCTCTCCTATTTCTTGTCTTCTTCCTCCTCCTCCTCCTCCACCTCTTCTTCCTATACCTATCCTTTCATCTCTCCTTCTTCTACAACTCTTCACCATCATCCTCCCATTTTTCTTGCTCCCATATCTCTAATCTCTCCTCCTCCTCCTTTCTCCTCTTTCTCCCATATCTCTCATCTCTAATCCTCCTCCTCATCTCTTCCCCTGTTCCTCCTCCCAACAATAAACATTACAAACCATACCATTCATAAAAGATCTGTACAGCAAAAACCTTTGAACAGCACATGAAAAAACAGGTTCCCCAAATCACCCGATTGTCCTAATATCTCTTCGACTCTCTTGGTTGCTCAAATGAAGACCTGCATGAAGCCATGCAAATTCCAAACATTTCCTTCTCCAGCGTACAAACATTTCAAAACGACCCTTAAAAATGACAAGGACATCGCCCCACCCCTAACTTCGTGGCTGAGGCTCTTGTAAAACAGAAGCCGGAATCTGGAAACCAACTTTGAAAACTCAGCGGTGCCAGGATGAGAAGGGTATAACGTAGTATGGTATAACGTAGTATATATCCATGGTATAACGTAGCTTGCTCATTTCCCTATTCCCCCCCCCCAAGGGCTAAGCGGTGCCTGATGCAATAAGATATATGAATGGAAATTCTTTTTATTTTGGGGGGGGGAGTAGATCTTACCATCTCAAAGGCAAGCGTTTGAGATCCTCTGGTCCCTGATTACACATCGTGCAGCGGAAAATATAAAATCTGGAAGACAAGAGAGAGAGAAAGAGAGAGCAGGTTCCTATGATTGATTTTTAGATGGGGGCAAGACCTGTACATCAGGCTTCCCGCCCCAGCTGCTGCCTTCAGCAGGGGTTGGACTACAAAACCCTTCCTCCTCGGCCAGCAGGACTCCGGCTACACTTACCGATCTCCAAAGAGCATGGGGTGGCTCAGGCACTGCATGCAAGCTTCGTGAAACCACTGACGGCACCGAATGCACTGCAACATCTTCAGGTACCACCTGAGAAGGAGTGGGAAGACGTTCTCTATCGGTATCGGCCTCTACGCAGGTGGTCCTCATTTAGCGACCACCTCGGACAGCGACCATTCGCAGTTGCGAGGGTGAAGAAAAAGTTAACATTGTGGCCAACCATCAAATTTGTGACCTTTGCGGCCTGCGAAGCTGAGGAAAGCTGAGGTTCGATTGGAAGCCTGGTCAATTTGCAACTACTTCACCCAACGACCAAATGGCCGATCCCAATTTGGGCGGCTAAACGAGCCCTGCCTATACTTTTATTTTCTAGGCTGTCGCGAAGATGCTGCGGGGGAAAACCACCTGGAACCGAACTGAGCTTCAAACTGAGAAAGCAACCTGCATATCCAGTTGAGAGACTAGGCATTTTGGGGTGTCCTGTTTGCAAATCAGGGTTCCTCCAGGTTGACTCAGCCCTCCCTCCTTCCTAGGTGGGTAAAAGGACCCAGATTGTCGGGGGCAATAGGCTGACTCTGTAATCCGCTAAGAGAGGGCTGTAAAGCACCGCGTAGCGTAAGTCTAAGGGCTATTGCTATTCATTCCATGCCGTTTCCATATTTTCATTTCCATTTCTATTCTATTCTATGCAGTGATGGCACTTTAAAAAAATGGAAATATCTGCATCCCTTGGAGAAGAAGGGAGGGAAAGGGAAGGGAAGAGAACATATACATAAATACAGAAAATGGAATAGAATATGGAACGGAACCGAAGAATGGAATAGAATAGAATAGAATAGAATAGAATAGAATAGAATAGAATAAGAACAGAATAAGAATAGAACAGAATAAGAACAGAATAAGAATAGAATAGAATAGAATAGAATAGAATAGAATAGAATAGAATAGAACAAAACAGAATAGAATTATTTCTTGGCCAACTGTGATTGGACACACAAGGAATTTGTTTTCAGTGCAGAAGCTCTCAGTGTACCTAAAAACACATTCGTCAAGAGTCATAAGACACAACACTTAGTGATAGTCATAGTCATAAATAAGCAATCAAATCGTACTAGGAAACTACATAAAACCACCCTGAAAATCAAGATGCCAATAAAAAAAGGTCTCCTCCAGCTGCCAAAGCTCACCCCGCCCTCCACCCTCACGCACCCTTGAAGGATTCCCCCCAACATCGCCCTCGGTCGAACGTACTCTCCGGGACCACCACAGTAGCAGTAACATTGCTGGTGATTGGTTCTGTGGAGGGAATCCCATTCCAGCTGTTCCGGGTTGTAACACAGGACCATTTTAACCGTCTGCAGAGTCCGGGCAATGGCTCCTTTCCTTAAGGCCCCACCTTTCTGTAAAAGCAACAAGAAACAGCATTTTCTACGCATTCTCAAGTCACTCGTTCCTCTTCTTCTATCTATGAGTCAAAGTGCAGCAGTCTTTTTTTTTTTTAAATGAATTATCTGTTAACCCAGTAAAGGTAAAGATTCCCCTCCTTGCACATCCGTGCTAGTCGTTTCCGGCTCTAGGGGGCACTGCTCATCTCCCTTACGAAGCTGAAGAGAGCCAGCGCTGTCCAAAGACGTCTCCATGGTCCTGTGGCCGGCAGGACTGAACGCCTTCGAAGACGCATGGAGGAACACTGTTCCCTTCCCACCTTCTGACAAGCAAACTGAATGGGGAAGCCAGGTTCACTTAACAATGGTGTTGGACTGCAGGGATTCACTGAATGACTGCGGCAAAAAAGGTCGTAAAATGAGCCAAAAGGAGTCTTTCACTTAACAACACCCATCTCCATCTCCCTGTGTCTCCTGTGGCTCAAAACACCTTAGATTTTTCCCTGCAGGCACAGCGACGAGGAAAACCTCTTGTACGCCACTCACCCGTGCAGCTAGTACAAAGATACACCTCCGACAAAACCAGGGGTTCGGCAAAGACTCTTCGAGGCTCCCCACCAGGGGAATGTGGCACTGTTGGTGGTACCCTGAGAAGGAGGAAGGGGGGAAACGGAGGGTTTTAAATCGATACGGAAGCTTAAATGCAGTAGCATCCACAACGATATCAATAATCCTGTCCTGAGTCACTGATGATGTTAGCTAGTTCAGTCATGAAACATCTGCAAGAAAACCAGCAGAGAGCACCCAAGACCCCACAATCCTCCTCCTCCCCCCCCCTCTGCAAACCTCACTCCCTTCTGGCACTGATGATGTGCCCATGCAAGTCATCTGGAAATCAACTAGCTCAAAAGAAGTTGGGGTCAAAACAAACCTCGCCCAGTTTTACTCAAAGTCTTCTAATGTTGTCCTTGTCTTTCCCGAAAGGTTTCAAGGGTGGAGTGGCCCTGCTGGATCCAAGCAGGAGGTTTTAAGCAAGAAATGGGTTTTGGGGCTGGGGAGAAGCCTTTGGGGTCCTGAACACTTCTGATAAACACTTCTCCTTCAAGTATGAGAGAGAATGTCAGCCTCCACAAAGTTTTTTTGACCCCTTTTGCTGCTTGCTCCCTGTTGGCTGCCATAGAAACCCAGGGAGGGGTAATTCTGGTATTTGGGAGGGAAGGTTGCTGGAGAGCAAAGTTGTTTTCTGTGTGAACTAACAAGGAGGGGATGCTTTCCTCCTTACCGTGCAGCTGCATAGACTTATCTCTACTAAGCCAAGGTCAACCATCTTGGCATACCAGATGAGGGAATAAGCACCTGAAGAGATACCCACGTGACATTATAAGCACTTCAGATTGGATGACCAGCCTGGACTCTCGGGGGAGGGAACTTGGGATAACTTTCAATATGTAATATTCGCGCCTATTCGCTTCAGATCTTGCTTCCTTTTGTTGCTGCCACATCAAACTCAGTCAAAGTACTTTTTCTCTACATCAATGGAGTTGACAGGTTTCTTTCTTGGGTTTTGAATGGAGGCACAGCTGACAGAGGCATTTTGAACTCGAGATAAACATGGCTTGAATTTCAAACCTGTTTTTACACTGCTACACCCAAGAGGGCACCTCCGTTACACACCCACTGCAGAGAAACAATAGCAGGGATAGGTCCAGGGCCACCCAAAACCAGGAGAGAAGATCTGGAGGACGTGCTCACCAACCCCACACTTCCCACAGATCAAGATCTCATTCAGAGGCTCCGATGTTTTCTCCAGGCAAATGTTACATTCAGGCTGTTCACTGGGGACACCAGCTAGAAAACAGGAAGAGGGGGAAAAAAGAAATCTGGTAAGCCCAATCCAGGTGTAGAACCGTAACCCCCAAAAGCTAAGACCATCCTGGGTTGTATAAACAGAGGCACAGAATCAAGATCACGTCGACTATTAGTGCCGCTTTACAAAAACCCCAGTAAGGCCACACCTGGAATACTGCGACCAATTTTGGTCACCATACTGTGAGGGCTGCGGTGGCTCAGTGGCCAAGACGCTGAGCTTGTCGATCAGAAAGGTCGGCAGTTTGGCGGTTCAAATCCCTAATGCAGCGTCATGGACTGAGCTCCCATTGCTGGTCGCAGCTTCTGCCCACCTAGCAGTTCGAAAGCATGTAAAAATGCAAATAGGAAAAATAGGGACCCCTTTGGTGGGAACAGCATTCCGTGCGCCTTCGAAGGCATTGAGTCATGCTGGCCACCTGACCACGGAGACGTCTTCGGACAGCGCTGGCTCTTCTTTGGCTTTGTAACGGAGACGAGCACCGTCCCCGAGAGCCGGAAACGACTGGCACAGGTGTGTAAGGAGGGGAACCTTTACCTTACTACAAAAAAAAAAAAAAGATGTTTGGAAAAAGCTCAGAGAAGAAGAGCAACTAAGATGACCAAAGGCCTGGAGGCTAAACCATATGAAGAATGGCTGAAGATTTTGGATCTGGCTAATCTAAAGAAAAGGAGGACGTGATAGCAGCCTTCCAGTATTTGAGGGGCTGCCACAAAGAAGAGGGGGGTCAAATTATTCTCCAAAGGACAAGAAATAATGGTTGGGAACTAATCAAGGAGAGAAGCAACCTGGAATTAAGGAGAAACTTCCAAACAGGGAGGACAATTAACCCCTGGAACAGAAGTTGCCTTCAGAAACTGTGGGGGCTCCATCACTGGAGGTTTTTAAGAAGCGACTGGACAGTCACTTGTCCGAAATAGTATAGGGTCTCCTGCTTGAGCAGGGGGCTGGACTAGAAGACCTCCAAGGTCCCTTCCAGCTCTATTCTATTCTGTTTCATTTGAAAGGCAACTCAATGGAAGAAAATGCATTAGAATACATGGATAATTCATATTTTCCAACTGCCAATCAGTCATAGATGTGATTTTTTGGCCAAGACACATTTTCTCAGGCTAGTTCACTCCTTATACCGAGGTTGACCACAAAGGAAGCCAAGTTCAACTCTCCATTATTCAAAAGAGAATACGAACAACACCCCAAACAAGCCTTCTTCTTCTTTTTGCCTAGCACCTTTTCCAAGAGGATCTAGCTCATCCCAACTCTACCCTGCAAGATTCTAGTCCTCATTCATCTCCTCACCCATCCGTATCAACATCTGAAATTGTGGAGAATTCCCCAAGGACAAAAGGCCAGGAATGTTCACGCACCATGCTGAATGTCCTTCCAAAGCACCCAGTATTTGGAATTATCTTCAAAGGTCACCAGGCAACTCTGCTTAGCGTCACTCACCTGTAAAGGCAGAAAAAAATGCAGGACACAGACCTCAGATTGCAAAGATGGAGTAATCAAGGCTGGATTACTCCAACTTTGCAAACTGGGGTCTGTGTTCATGTCTTAGGCTATGCCCAAGTACAAAAATGAAGGTGGGGTTCCCCAACTCCCTAAAACCAGCCCACATGTACTAACTTCACATGCTCTGGGAACCCCAAAGTTTTAAATGATCCCTTTCATTCCTTTGCTGGCTTTTGAGAGTATCCAGCAATTGCTATTTGTAGCAGGGAAAGGAAATACAAGAATAAATAAATTTTAAAAAGAAAAGAATAAGTTTGGGGAAGGCAGGAAGATAAGAAAGGGGAAAAGAAATACAGTGAGAATTGTCTTTGCACAACAGTGGAAAAATGAAGAGATGAAAATGAAATAAAAAATATTAGAATGCGCAGAAATGGATAGATTAACACTTAAAGGAGAAGGAAGAAACAATGTTTTTTAACATGGGATACCTTTTATCAATGGTTAGATGACAGAAACAGAAGTTAGAAACTTAAAGGTTTAAGGGAATGATTAACTATACAATGAAGGTATATTAATATGGATAACCAAATATTATTATTATATGATCATTATCAATTATATGAATATTATTATTTCTATTATTATTTTCCAAAACTACCCAGACAACACACTGTTCATGTAGACATTGTTTTTGTTTATTAAAGAAAATGTATAAGAATATGTATGTATGTATGTATAAACTGCCAACAATTGAAATACAAACAGCCGAAGTTCTAAATGAAATTTAAACTCCCTTAGCAAAGGTGAGATGGAAACAAGATTTTATATAGAGATAGAGATAGAGAAAAGGAAAAAGTGGTATTTACTCTCTTAATCTTCCCAAGATAATAAAGCCCATCAGTCCAACAGCACAAGACATACTGTCCTTCAGGCAATTTAGTCATCAGCTCTCGCCGACTGTCCTGACTTCTGGCAACCCAATCTGCCATCGATTGCTGCAGAGCTGCACAAGTGCTCCCAAGGTCAGGAGTCCCCATGCTTCTGGGCTACAAAGAGAAAAGAAAAAAGAATATTATTTCTAAAAATGCATAGCTACGAGTAACCCCAGGATGCCAAACTCTTTTACACTGAGTTCACATTTTCGATCTGTTCTCACCCATGGCTGCGAAGTTGCAGTTTTAAGATATCAGAAATCAACATTTGGAGCAGGCAGATTTTGTTCTGCTGAAATAAATTAAATTCAGGACTGCCATGCAATCTCCAGGCTTTACGATCAAGCATCTTTGGGAGATCAGAACTGAACGGAAGCACTGCACAGCCTCGAGTTTTGAGTTTAAAGATTTATTTCCTGTGTTGGATAAGAGCACATCTTTCTCCTTCTGTCCTGGTCACTTTTTACAGAGGCACGATCGAGAGCGTTTTAACAAACTGCATCCCTGTTTGGTTTGGTGGCCTCAGATAGAAAGTCCCTACGGAGAGTGATGAGGACAGTGGAGAAGATTATAGGAAATTCATTTTCTCTTATTCAGGATACCACTCATAAGCTCTCTGTGCTTAGAGCTCAAAGAATTGTGAGAGACCCCACACACCCACGGTTTCTATTTGCTCCCCTCTAGGGGGAGGTTTTGAAGTATCTATAGCAGGACTACTAGATTTTGTAAAAGCTTTGTTCCTTAGGCCATCCGTTTGGTAAACTCGCCGGATTCTTTTTCCCCGCCGTGCATACGTATACCTTCAAACTAGATTGTGATATTTCTTTGTGTCATATGTCATGTTATATGTGTATATACAGCATGTGGGTATATGCATAATGGTTACCTTTTGAAAGCTGAATGCAACAAAATTTCATTTAAAATATGCTGTTCAGTGTACATTGAAAGTAACAATAAAGATTCTATTCTATTCTACTCTACTCTACTCTATTAATACGCCTGGCAGCTGGAGCCACATCTGCCTGGATTTCAACCCGTAACACCCATTACTCAATGTGCTTTTACTCCAAATAGCAAAAAAGGGAGATGTTCGGTAAGTTAGTAGCAGGGCCTCCTTTGCCAAGGTCTATTTTTGGCCTCTCATTCTTGGCAGCTTCCGATCCTTGTAAAGATTGTGGCATTCCAATGTCGGCGCAACCGGCTGTGTCCCGGGAAACACCCCAGGTCACTTCCCAAGCGGTTCTTGCACAATGCAGACAAGAAGGGTCCCTGCTCATCGGACTGGCCAGGAATCTGGGGAGCTTAAGGTTCTAAGGTAGTCCTTGACTTACGGCCAGAAAATTAGCCCCAACTTGCTGGTTCTAAGTGAAATAGTTCTTTGGTGAATTTTGCCCCATTTTATGACATTTCTTGCCACAGTTGTTAAGTGAATCACTGCAGTTGTTAACTTAGTATGTTGTTGTTAAATAAATCTTGTTTCCTCATGGACTGGGCTTGTCAGAAGGTTGCAAAAGGGGATCCCGTGACCCCCAGGACATGGCAAAGGTCATACATATGAGTTGGTTGCCAGGCATCTGATTTATGACCACGTGACCCATGGGGTGCTGCAATGGGCACGTGGAAAATGGTCCAGAGTCCCTTTTCTCAGTGCCATTGGAACTTCAATCGGTCACAAAACAAACTGTTGTAAATTGAGAACTACCTGGACTGCAATGCCTTGAACCAACCTCTCTCTCTCTCTCCCCCCTCTCCACATCTGTCTATCCATCTATCTCATATCTATCTATTGCTATCTTATATCTTATCAATATCTTATCATATCTATCAATTTATTAATCTCTATACTATCTATCTATATGTTTCTATTTCTATCTCATATCTATCTATATCTATCATCTCCCTCTCATCTATTTATCTGTCTATCTATCTACCTACGGTATCTCTCTCTCTCTCATATCTATCTATCTATCTATCTATCTATCTATCTATCTATCTATCTATCTATCTATC